CTCACGGGGGGCTGGGACCCCTCACAGGGGGCTGGGTCCCCTCCTCGGGGGTTGGGACCCGTCATAGGGGGCTGGGACCCTTCATAGGGGGCTGGGTCCCCTCCTCGGGGGTTGGGACCCCTCCTCGGGGGCTAGGAGCTCTCACGGGGGGCTGGGTCCCCTCCTCGGGGGTTGGGACCCGTCATAGGGGGCTGGGACCCTTCAGAGGGGGCTGGGTCCCCCCCTTGGTGGGGGCTGCGCGCCCCTCGTGGTGCCGTCTGGGTGTTTTAGCTCCTCACAGGGTGTTGGGTCAGGTCTTGTCCTGCTGGGGCCGTGAGGGGGTCTTGTGTGTGTGGTGGTGGGTTTGGGGTCTGCTCGTGATGCTGTGTGGGGTTTGTTTGTTGTTTGGTTTGTTGGGGTTTTTTTGCCCTCGTGGAAATGTAGGATCTTCAGGTGCCTCGTAGTGCCCTGTGGGGTCTTTATGGGGTCCTTTGTGGTGCCCTATGGGGTCTTTATGGGGTCCTTTGTGGTGCCCTATGGGGTCTTTATGGGGTCCTTTGTGGTGCCCTGTGGGGTCTTTAGGTCCCTCCTGGCACGAGGTCTTCGGGTCTGTCACGAAGAGTCGCAACTGATCAAAGTCAGCATGGGGCAGTTGTGAAGTTTCTCTCTGCTGAGACAGACCCCACTCACCACATCTCCCTGCTGCTCATTCCCTCACCTTCTCTGCTGGTGCTTGGTGCTGGTTTTCCACTGGCACAAACGTGCTGAGTGGGATGGAGCTTCCCTCGCAGGTGCTGGGGGTAGGTCAGGATCAGGCCCAATGGCTTTCTGGGGACAAAGCTGGCCAGGGAGATGAAAGTTTGTCTGCTGGAACTGACCCAAACTGTTTCACTGGCCTCTGCAGGTTTTGCAATACTTTTTTTATAGCAAAACCACAGTCCTGTGGGTGGTGGTGACTTCACCAGGGTAAGATGTGACCCTGGTGATGCAGCCCTGGTGCTGTGGTCCCAAGCATCCTCTTGGCATCTGAAGTTTTGCAGCTTCTCGAAAACAGAAAGAAAAGCCATGGTCCCTTTCCACACAACCCTTGTTCCCTCAGCTGTCCCTAGACTCCACAACAGAGGCAGCAGCTGACACCAAAATAGAGAGGGTTCTACTGCATTTTCACAGCTCCTCAGCAGCTTTAAGGTTTGAAGCAGGAGACAAGCTCCTTCTCTCTGCTGGAGAACTCGAGGCCAGCCCTCCCTCCAGCTGCCAGGCAATGACATCTCAGAGCTGGTCTCATGACTCCTGCTAATGCCACAAAGAACCCTTATTGTATTAGCATCTCGACGCAGCATTAGATTAATCCCTGCAGGCCGCGTGGGACAGGCCGCCGGGAGAGCCCCGCGCCCGCGCCGCGCCAGCCAGCATATGCCTGGGAAGTCACGGAGACCTTTTCAGCTGAACATATGCTGGCCTGGAGCAATTCTGCATTATCCTCGTGACTTTTGCTTCTGTTGACATGGGAAGAAAGTCACTGGTGATCTGTCGCTGGGGCATCATGCGAGTCCATCTGCTCCATCTGACCTTAGGGAACTGGGCTGTGAGTTCCAGCACGGCGGAGGTGCCTACAGCAAAGGCAGCAGACATGGCACGGAGGGGTGGCAGTCGTGTGTCTGCTTCACGTGAGGCCTCCGGAAGGAGCTCCGCTGTAATTCCTTTCTCCCCATGCTCTCCAACAGATTATCAGGAGTAATGCCAATGAAACGTTTCACATTAGTCTGCAGCTCAAGGAAAGGGAGTGATGTCTGATGCCAGATTAGAAGCCAGACATGGGCCTGCCTGCTAGCAAGCGGGGCTGTCACGCTGGGTTGGTTTATAAGGCAAGCAGTTCTGCTGCCAGATGACGACAGACTGTGCGTTAACATTATCATAACAAACTGCCTGATGGAGGGGGGCCCGGGAGCCTCAGCGTGCTGTGCAGAGCAACAGGGATCTCGTCACCGCCTCTGAAACGCGGCTGCTTTTGGGCAGAGGCAAAGACAAACCCCCCTCCCAAGTTCCAGCAGCCAGAACGAAGCGGTTCCAAATTATTTAAAAACCAAACCAAAACACAACAGTTTACTAGATTGTGCTGCATATTTTGCGTATTTAAACTGCTGACTGAATTCTTTAGACCCAGCTGATCAGGGTCCAGAGTCACTGTCAGGAGCAACCCAGCCAGTGCGGAGCAGGCTGTCAGTTCTCTAGAGGCAGGAGGTGCTGCCTGGGGAGGGGGCATGTGGGACCCATGGCCTTCCAGCACCCTCAGCAAACAGG